TTCTTGATGTTGAGCTTCAATCCATATTGAAGGCTACAGTCCTTGACCTTCTGCAGCAAGCACTTCAGGTCCTCCTCAGTTTCAGCAAGCAGGGTTGTTTCATCTTCATAACGCAGATTGTTGATGAATCTTCCACCAATTCTGATGCCACACTTCTCCTCATAGAGCCCAGCCTCCCAGATAATCTGTTCCACATACAGACTGAAAAGATATGGAGGTAGGACACATCCTTGATGCACACCCTTCCCAATTTTGAACCATGCATGCAGTGTGTTTCTTTGCTCTGTTCTGACAACTGTCTCCTGGTCCAAGCATAAGTTTCGCATAAGCGCAATCAAGTGTTCTGGGAGAGATGCAAATAAAAACAACTGTGAGGTATCGTCTCACCCCAGTAACAATAGCAATGTTCAGCAGAGAAGCAAAAAACAAATGCTGTCGAGGTTATGGAGAGATTGGAATCCTTATTTATGGCTGGTGGGAGTGTTAAATGGTGCAGCCACTATGGAAGGCAGTATAGCACTTTCTCAAAAAGTTGAAAATAGAAATACCATTTGACCTAGCAATTCCACTACTAGGAATATACCCTAAAGAAACCAGAGCTGCCACCTAAATGATATATGTTTATTGATGTGTCATTTACAATAGCAAAGAGACAGAAGCAACCCAAGTGTCTAAAACCAAATGAATGAATAGAAAAACAATGGTATATTCACACAATGGAATACTATGCATGCAGTGCTGCAAGCAAGGATCTAATATAATATTATACAACATGGGTTAACCTCAAGGACATTAAGTTGAGAAAAATATCTCAATCACAAAAGGACAAATGCTGCATAGCACCACTATTAGAAAACAGGACTGACATGGGGGTTGAGAGGAAACTAAGAAAAGAGGGAATACATAATGAATACTGAATTGAAACAGAAGAAAGAAAAAACTGTTTAAAAGGAATATATAATTATGCATTATATGTACGGCAACAGCCCAGAATAAGAGATACATTGCAGAGAGGATTTGGGGGTGTGGGGAGGCAATTGTGCAACAAAGAACTAGTATTAAAAAAAAAGTGAATTGGGGGAGGGGAGGGGAAAGGAAGGGGGAGGAGGTAAAATGTGCAACAATGAATGAATGAAAATCTATCTTTTTTCGTAAATGTCTATTAAAATCACAATTAAAATGGAAAATTTTATTTTATAAAAACCCCAAACCAACAACTTTTTATTTCTTGCAACCGCACCTGTATTTCTCCTATGGGACAACTGGTGGATTTGAACCACTTGTCTTTGGTTTGGCAGTGTAACTCCAGGTATGACTTGGCAGTATAATTCTTAACCACTAGATATCCAGAGCTCTCTTCATTGTTGTTGTTTTGCTTTATTTTATTATTCATAGAATAATATACTGTATACTAAGGAAGCTCTGGTGGCCTAGTGTTAAGGAGTTGCACCAACAAACTCAAAGGTACATGGTTCAAATCCACCAGTTGCTCCATGTGAAGAAAGATAGGCGATCTCCTCCAGCACAACAAACCGCCTTTGAAAACCCACTGGGTGGGTTATCTATGGGTCAGTTCCAACTTGATACACAACAACTACAACAAACTAAGACAAACATTGGATTAGTATTAAATAAGGACTGTAGCTAATTGTTCCTGACTCACACAAAATTTCATTTTAAAGACTGACTAGGAATAGAACTTGTTCATTATACAGGGACTACTTGTATAACTTTATGGGACCATGGGCGTGTATGTGCTCAAGAGTCACCTGACTAGACATCTTACAACACATGACTTTATGTCCAATTAGGATCAAAGAGCACGGGTTCTGAGCTCTCCATAAATTAGTTGGCTTGTGGACCTTGCAACTGTGATTGAGGGAGCAGGGCAGTTCCTGGGTTGCACATGACACACGTTTAATGTGTATGGTATTTCTGAGCATAGTGTGACTGCAGTAATTACTCAATACGTAGTTGCTTAGAGCTAAGTAGTTCTTAGAATAGTGTGGATATGGTAGTTCTAGGTTAGAGTGAGGTTGTGGTAAACATACTGTTGGAATTGTGATGATATTAAAGTTGAGGTTTTTATTGGATTTATAATTCAGATTGGTAGTGTATTACATATTTCAAATCCACCAGCTGTTCAGCGGGGGGAAAAGATGGACAATGTCCTCCTGTAAAGACTTATGATCATGAAACCAGCTGGAAGGTTCTGGTTAATTGGAAAGGACTCAACAGCCGTGGGTTTAGTATGCCTTTGATTTGGGTTTGAGTTAAGGTTGCAGTTAAAATTGGCCTAGGAGTTAAATTCTAGGCTGAGGATTAGTTATACACTTCTAAAAGAGAGTGGAAAAAGCTGAAGTGTATTGTGAGGTACTGATTTGGTTTAGATGAGAGGCCATTTCTGGGCCTCCCACGTTTGTGAGATGTGAACGAACCTTTAGCTATGCTTATCAGCTGGGGAAAGGTGGGCCTCCAGCACCTGCCCGGACCCCAGTGACCAACACAGCACTTTTTGTTTTTTTGTTTCATTCCCTATCTTCCTCCTGCAGAGATGCTAGTGGATCAGAACATCTCAGTTTTCTAACTTAAAACCTAATTTGGTTATGGAAGTATTTTTCAAGTAACACCTACTAGTACCCTGTGCAGGACTGCAAGGAATTGAGATCATGGCGTATTTGAAATGTGGGTTTTCAGTTTTCACCCAGATAAAAAAAGGAGTTTTACACATGTCTCATGAATTTTCTTAACACACACCACAATAGATATAGGAAGGAACAAGCAGACGCAGCTTTGTTTAGAGATCTATTTGGAAATTATGCTTAGCAGCTGTACTATAATGAAGATGACAGGATGAATCCCCTTCAAGGTTACAGAGGTTTGGGAGCTACAAAGTCTCTGTGTACAGTTCTGAAGAGACCATTATTTTCTTCTCAGGCAACAACTGAGATCTAGAGAGGGTTTCCTGGTTGGGCGGCACAAGGCCTTCGAGGACAGTGCCGAGGACAGTGACGGGGCTGGCCTAGGATTAGGGCAGAACAGAGCTGGTGAGCGCGGAGCCGGAGCCGGTTGTCGGCTGCCTTGGGACCACTCAAAAATGCCAGACCCATCTGCTTCTCAATGGGGGAAGGCTGGGCCTTTGGGTCCCCCTCTGTCTTCCCTGCCTTAGCTTTCTCCACAAGCCCTTTGTTTAGGGCCAGGCTCCTCTTGGCACTTTGCTCTCTTGTTTTGTTCATCTTCTGTGCAGGAAAGATCACAGATTCATGACCCACTCTGCCCTTTGTAGTAGGATTAATGTATTGCTGGAAATGTTTGAACTTATTTCTGAAGCCAGAATCTAGAAGGCTGGGGCTCTTGTGAACATGAGCTGTTGTCACTTGACCTTGGAGAATCTGATCGTTTGGAGTTTGGTGTTGCAAAGGCTTACCCTGAACAGGTATGGTCAACAAAGATAGATCCTGTGAAGCCTGGCACACTGTAGGTTGGGCCGTCCCAGTAATCCTTGCTGACTCAGTGGTGAGATTCAGCTTTGTCTGACTGTCTTGCACATAATTTTGTTTGATTTCTTCCTCCTCAGGGATTCTTGGAGGCAGTTCTGGGAGCTGAAGACTCAGCTGACAGGAAACAGTAAGATCAATGCTCTCTCTCCTGGGTTCTGCTTCCCCTGGCCTCTGGTCTTCAGCAGGCTGTCTATCTTGTCTGGATGAAGAAAATCCAATCTCTGCATCCCCTTTGCCATGATTCCTGGCTGGCTTGGGCGTCCCTGGGAGTTCTTTCTTTTCTGCCAGCATGAGAACTTGGGCTGAGTGCTTGCTCTTGTCAGAGTCTTGAGACTCAGGGTACGAGGGCTCCCCCAGTGTGGGGCTATTCTCTCTGGCTTCTGCCTGAACACAAAGCACCTGGGCATTTGTCATGTCCCCACTGGGTTGTGTGACGCTGGGGACACAGTGGGAAGGATCACGGAGCACTGCTGTGGCACTCACACACTTCTGGCTCTGCCGTACTGCATTTGGCTCAGTGGACTGCTGCTCTGTAAGGTGGCCCAGTTCTGGCTCTGGGGCATGTGGAATGCCTGTTGGGATGGAGAATTCCTCTAGCAAGGTTTGTCCTGGACTGGTTGGACTCCCAGGTGACCCTTGTGTGGATATGCTTTCTAGGATGTCTATAATTTGGTCCTTGGACTCCCGTGACTTCATGGGAGTTCCCAACTGTTTGTCTTGGTCCTTTATTCCTAGATGGAAATTTCGTTTGCTAGAGAGGGGTGTCCTGGTCAAGTGTGCAACACAAGCACCTCTCTGCCTTTCTAGAGACACCGTCTCCACTTTTTCTTCCTCCTGTGCTTCAACCAGGAAGTCTTGGGCACTGTCTACACACATCTCATTGTCCTCTTGAAAGCCTGATGTAG